AATCAGTTTAATTAACTGTCTTGCAATGACGCTATTGTGTTCTTTTTTGTTTTTTTGGTTATATATAATTATTTAAAACCAATGAACTTAGGTTGTTGGTTATAAGTTTTTTTTAGTAGACTGTCTTTAATTTGTTGGTGTTTTTTTTTCTTTTTTATTTGTGTGACTTTCTTATGTTGAGTATCTCTTCTACTCAACTTTTAATATATTTTCTTTGATTTATAAAAAAAATATTTAAAACCAATGAAAGGGATATTACCTTAACTTATACATCTAGTCCTATCTATAAATTAAATTTATGTTCTATAAATGTGACTTTATGCATTTTGATATATGTAATTCTGTTATGGCATAAAACAACTGTTTTGTTTTTTGTTGTTGAAAGGATTGACATAAGTTGAAAGCATTCAATATGTAAGTTCTTATTTTCAATTCCTCCACCAAACTTAGGTTTTATAGGCTCATATTTACACATTTAACTTCTAGATATTTTGAACAAAAATTCCTTATATTACGGAGTGATTGATTCTCCTTTTCCCCTTTTAGGGATTTGGAAATGAATTGGCATTGTTTCTAGAGATCCAACCTTTTAGACTATTCTCCGGTCAAAGATTTACAGATTTAAAAACTTTTAGCAGCTTCTGAATAATTTTTTTCCTTCTCTTTTTAAAGAAGAATGGCCACTTGTGAAGGGAAAATTGTTGGTTGAACACCGGACTCACAAGGTAAGCAACGCCTCCCTGGCTAATATACAACTACTAATCATAATAGCAATATCTGTAAGAGCTTTTGTAGGTGTACTGCAAAGTGAAATGAAAATAAGATGAATATTTATTATTATTATTATTGGTTTTTCATATCCTTTTGGATGTCTCTGAAAAATCTGTTAGATTCGAATACTTTAAGTAACATGTTATTGGAGAAAAGCTCTCCTAATTAGTAATCCAAGGGCTTTCAACCTCTATCTTTAATTTATACGTCGACATTAGAGTTTAATTAGAACATCAGAAATTAGTTTGTGATACAGATTATGTGCTTCCTTTTATTATTTTTTTTAACATTTCTGAAAGTTTAGTGTGTGTTGGAATTAGTTTGTTTAATTTCAATTAAATAATTTTTTAGCTCTAATTTGTGAGAGCTTTTCTTAAAAACATTTTTAAAATGAAACTAATATAAACATGTGCTTCAGATCGAACATTTTATTTTATTTATAATTTTTTTGAGGAAATTAATTTAGATTTCCAGTATTATCTGTTTTGTGTTAGATATTTTCTTTTCAGTTGATAAGTACAATTTCAAATATTTATCTTTACACTAGCCTTAACTGTTTGTCCAAATTATATGTCCCATGCAATTGCACCAAAATTTAGTTTACTTCGTTTTTGGCCTACGAGCCAAATGTTGGCTTATATGATCTCTTTCAAGACAGATCTGGTTTATGACAAAAACAATAAATATTACATAGAACTCGATTTTGAAGTGGTCTATCTGTTTTCCGTTTCTTCTGCTAGCAAATATGATTGTTCAATAAAGAAATTTAATACTTTTTTTTCTCGTAAAGTTTCATGTATAGTACAAAAAGCTTTATGCAAAATATGTCAACATTAAAAAGAGGAATATAAATTATAGGGAAAAGCGAATAAAAGAAAGACTACATACAAAATACTAATAAATAATACTGCTGAACATTTTTCTTCTCGTCATGTGCAGTCCACTTAGATAAACAACGGCGCTAAGTGGATAGTTTCTGGTTTATTTAGAGTGGATGGATGATTTTAACGATTCTGATTAAATGAATATAAAGGTGAATATCAAGTTTTTATAATAATGGAAGAACAAAAAATAGATATTTTGTTATAAATAAATTTTTTAGATAGTAAAATGTGAAGAAGAAGTAGAAAACTATTGTGTCTTTTATATATTCATATGCTTTTCATTTTACCATAAATATTCTTTACAAATTGTTTCTTAATTTTGAAAAATTGCTTTCAAATCAAAATGTATTAAAAATAAAAATAGTTATATATAACATTAATTATTTTCTGTTGAAATTATGTAACTATTTTATATATCAAGTCAAAACAAAAAGTAAACATTAATATATAATTTTTCTTGCTTTATTGTACCATTTTCTTTCCTTTCTTTGTCTCATTATTCTTCAACTTCATTCCAGCGCAGCCCAAGTGTTGGCCAGAGAATAGTGATCAGATAAAATAATATAAAGAATAAATGATGAACAAAGTGTGAGTCTCTTCCTCCTCTCTGCCTCCGTTAAACCCTATCTTAACCACAGTTCCACCCACAATACACTATTTACTTTTCTCTCAAAATTGAAGTTAAATTAACATTTCGAATTCATACTGTTTCTAGGTTAATATGTTGGTCTTCAATTTTCAGCTGTTTTTAGTGGAACTGGGATGTATTTCAGGGAAAGATGGAGGACAACACATACGGTGTGAGATATAAAACAGGTACGACTGTACGAGTGATTTCTTTATTTCCTTTTTTTATTTTGGAAAAACTTATCGTCATAAAGAGGAGATTGTCCATATGATCCTTTGTGTTTTTCTTATTTTCTTTATTGTTACTAGACATAAATGCTATAAGTGCAGCACTCAGAAATAGCAAGTTGTATATATATATTTTTTAATGTTAGAATTAATGCTAAAAACTTGCCTTAAAATTCATTGCAATGCACGTTAATGTGAGAAATATGATGCTTAATCTGGATTAGTTTTTCTTTTTTCTGTGGACGAGTAATCTTTCATATATGATTTCAAATAGCTAACATTTCAAAGTTGGTAAATACTCTTATCGATATGATCATATCATAGTACAAAAAAAAAACTGACATTTTTATTTCTGAGTATACTTTTCCTATTTCAGGATGAAAGCTAGGCAAAATAGCAGATTTTCTTATTTCTGAAAGATAATTACAAGGTATTTCTACTGCAAAGTGACTAATTAACTAACTAGTATTGTGGCATTTTGCTGGTATCTAATATTTCCTATGTAATTAAAAACGAACTTTTTTTGATTAGTTACCAGCTTATTAAACTCTCAATGTCTTATAAGCTTTCATATTCGTTTTTATAAGAATTTCTAATCTTAATTATATGCCTGTGTTTTACTCAGAAAGCTAGTGTGATTAATTACTTCTTGAGATCAATATTTTTAGAATGTTTCTGACGATATGTTAGATAGAGCAGCTAGAGCAAATGACGGATGTGATCATCTTCTATAAGATTTTACAAAGTAACTCATGAGACCAAGATAGGCACGAGATAAAATGAATAAATTGCATCTTGCAAAGGAGTAGAACTGTAGAATATGGCTAGTGCTAACAACAGTATATATAGTTTTAACATTAAATTAAAATCTCACTTTTGGTCTCTTTCAAAATTTCTAAAAGCAGATATAAATTTAGCTTGAGCACCTTCAATATCAGGTGACAAGTCGTATACCCCAGTGCTGATGTTGACATGTACAATCCATAAGTGAAGCTTGTGATATTTTTGCCTCTCTTGATACAAACAGCTGCAACCAGTGCAGCTTAGCTTATAGTAAAATATTTACACAGATCCATGATTGATCAACACCCTCTTATGAAAAAATTATTAGACAATTTAGAATTATCAAATGTTCATAGTCTCGACTAATTATTATATAATATATACTTAAATTTTTTAATTTATAAAAAAATTTAATGATATTTAATTACATGTCATATAGAGATTAATTATGAATTATGTGGTTCAAAATCATCCAATAATTTTTCCTTCTTAAAATGTTTTTGTGAAAAAGTTACCTTCAACATAACTTACATTTTTTTTAATAAGATAAAATAGTTACTTCTATGTTTTGGATATTAGAATGAGTGAAAATCTTTGGAGCAAATTTCAAATGATAAAGCAAAACAAGCACTTATTTGGTTCCCAATATTTGCCCTTTACTCAATAATGATATGATTTGCATTTTTAAATACATTATCATGCTCTTGAACTAATGTGTTGTTCTTTGCCAGTTGTCACCGATAGTTTTAGTTTCTGAGTTCAGACCCTTGGTTTGAAAACTTATTTAGTTCGAGAAATTAAAGCACTTTTTTCATGTTTTATTTTCAGGAAAATAATAAAAATGGTATGCGTTCATTATATAGACACTAAAGCTGCACTTTGTTAACTATGCACACTTCATATGTTTTGGTTCGTTGAAATTTGTATTTTTGTTACTTTGTGTTCTTAGAAATGTAATGACTGGAATATTAATATCGAGTTAGAGATTATTTAATCCGTGATGGTAAATTATTATGTGTATCATCTTTGAAACGAGATTGTTTCTTCGAAGCAGGAATTCAAGGCTTCCTAGCTTGAGCATCTTCCATATCAGGTGACAAGTTGTATACTCCAGTGCTGTTTGATATGAAAGAAGCATGAAAAATAACATAATCAGTTTAACCAACCGACCCTGTAGGTACCATATATCGTGGGGTATAGCTAGCTTGATTTTTTTTTTCCCAATATCTTTTTTCAATTTAGATTCATGCAATTAGTTTGTACCATTAGTCTTTTTCTCATAAATTAAATAAAGTCTTTAATTTGACACAGTACGTTTCACTATAATATATTTATATATGATGTACTAACAAACTTACACTTTTTAGCACATAGTAATTTTTTTTTTTGGAAGATACCGCTTAAAGATTGTGAAAATGGAATGTGAACCAACACCTAGAATGAATTTCAACGGAGATGAAAAATATTTGATGCAGCACCTACATTGTATTGAGAACACATCAATGCGAAAACTAGAAAAGAACTCAGGTTCCACTTAAAGAGGAGCGTCAACAATTTGATACACTTTAGCAAAATTCATACCCTAGCCAGTCTCCTACAGTGGGTCAAATAATATTATCAGTTTTTCTTAGTGGATATGACAGCTGAAAATTATGCTAGATTTATTGAAGAGAAACCACAATACCTATTACCTACTAACGCCCTAGCTAGAAATTGACGTTGTAAAAAGGAATTAACAAGAAGAAAAAGGAAACAAAAGAATAGTGACCTAGATTTAGTTGAAGTAGCTAGGGCTTGAACTATGCTCAGATATGGTCAGAAGTTGCTCTAGATAGTCAACTCCCAAGTCCTCTAACACCATCACACTCGATGTTGATGTCTCTTTCCCTTTACACTTTTTACCCTTTGATGACAATTTTCTTTGGATGCAGTGCCTCTCCTTGAGTGCAAGTGCAGGAGAAGATCCATTGCAGCAGCTATATTGAATCTCTTCCAAAGACTCTTTGACCCTTTCGACCGGAAAATTGAGTACAGCATTGTGGCCTCTCATGGAAAATGCAGCTTGGTCATAAGCTAGAGCAGCAGCTTCTGCACTCTCAAAGGTTCCAAGCCAAACCCTTGAACCATTCCTTGTTGTGTCTCTGATCTCTGCTGCAAATTTTCCCCAAGGCCTTTTCCTCACACCTATGTATGACCTTTGCTTACTCTGCACTTCAGATTTCACCACCAATTGGTTTGGCTCATTGTGGTTTCCTTGTGTTGGTGGCGTGGAGAAGTCCACCATATCGAAGGAAAGAGAATCGTGGATAGGGTCAAGAACAGCATTGTTTGAAAATGATTCGAACAGCATTTCTGAAGGGTCCTGCGACATGTCCCAATCTGCTGAGTTCTGAAAGAAAGGAGAAGTCATGTTACCAGGCTTGCAAGAAATGATGTTGTTGCTGTCTGTTGCTTCCTCTTCTCCTTACTCACTATAATTTATTTGCTCTGAAATGAAGCCCTACCTAAGGTTCTTGATCAATTATTAATTAATTTGGTTTGTTTAATGTAGAGATCATGGCAATAATTTATGGGGAGTTTATCATGTGTCCATGCGCTTTGAAAGAAATAGGGAGTCATATTAGGCAACTGCATTTTGTCGCTTGACTCGCTTCTTCATCTTCCCATCTTTTCTTTAATTTATTTACCTCAGACAGTCAGACCCCACCATATTATTCTTCAAATAGTATCAATTTGGGTTATTTAATGTTGAGGTCCTAGTAATAAAGTAATGAGAACGTTTGTGATGAAAACCGGGAAATCTATGTTAGATTGATTCATGAATTTAAACAAAGCTTAATAAATTATTTACTCCTTCTGTTTTTTTTTTTATTTGACGTTTAAAGTTTATGTACAAAAATTAAAAAAATAATTGATATTTTAATTTTTCAAAGTATTTATTACTTATTTTTCTGTTATACCCTTTAAGTGGTTAGAGAAGAAATAGATATATTGAAAATAAATAAATACATTGTTCAGTAAACACACACTAATTATCAAGAGTAAAAAATGAAAAAAATAATAATAAGTTATTGATTTTAAAAAAAGTGATAATAAAAAAAAATAATGTCAAAACGACTATAAATAAAAAATAGAGTGAGTATTTCTTAATTTATTTTTATAAATTTTTAATTATATTCTTAAACAAAAAATTGGTAATGGGCATGAATAAGAGATTTAAAGTTAATTATTTTTTAGTTAATACATTAGTTTTAGAACCAACATAGTTGGAAATCTGGTAGAAACTTGATTGACATAAAAATGTTCAAGTTTTATATGTCGGTTAATGTCACAATTGACACAGAATATTACATTTGTTTTGATATTTTGTTTGTTTTTGGCTCAAACCAAAAACCTATAATACAAATTTAAACACTAGACATATTCATAGATTTTTTGTTTGAAACAGCCAATAATATATTGAATATGTGGCACTAGGGGTGCCACAAACCCACAATTACAGTGAAATACAAGGTAAGGTATAGTTAGTTTATGAGCGAAGCTAGGCAGCAATCAAGAAGGTTTTCATATTTAGCTATAGTTTATCCCAATAGAGAGCACATGTAGCCCGGTAGGTACGCCCGACCACCATATCAAATCTCAAACTTGACTTCTCCACCCATTTTGCCAGCATTGGGATGGACACGCTATCCATTGATCAAAGGTAAAGTCCATGAGGTCATTAAGCTTCAGCCACAACCACACAGTAAGGTGTAAGTTGGCTTTCAATTCCTCTAGCGCAGTCACCCTTCTTCTGAAAATCTTGTTGTTTCGCCCATTCCAAATACACCATACAACAACACTCCTAACAATATCCCAACCCTTCATTTGGCGAAGACCAGAACATAGTTGTGGGTACTGACAATAATGTTGTAACATCCCAAATTTTATACTTTATATTTATGAAAATTATTTTTCTATAGTTATTAATTAATAAAAAAAGGTTCTTTTTATATAGAATATTTTAGAGATTTTAATAAATGATTATTATGTATTTTAAATATTTATGGGATTATTAAAGGGATTTTATAATTAAAAATAATAAAATAATATTCTGGGTTCAGAACAGGCCGTTCCAAATTTTTGAAAAGGCTTGTGTTTGTTGGCCCGGAACGGGCCGTTTCCAAAGTGGAACGGGCTGTTCCAAATTTGTAAAAAGGCCTGTGTGGGTTTTTTCAGAACGGGCCGTTCCCAAAGGGAAACGGGCCGTTCCGAGATTTTAAAAATGCCTAAAAAGTTTTGTTGGAAACGGGCCATTCCAAGGATGTTCAATGTATGTAAAAATGGATCCCAGAACGGGTCGTTCTGCTTTTTGGAAACGGGTCGTTCTGATTTTAGAACGGGTCGTTCCAGTTGAAAAATTTGTGTATATTTGAAGGCTCCGGAACGGGCCGTTCCAAATTCAGTACAGGTCGTTCCGGGTGCGTTAGAATGCCTATAAATAGGGGCATCAGGGGTGAAAATTTTATAACTGAGTGAGAAGGTGAAAATCTTAGAGAGAGAGAGAGAGAGAGAGAGAAAATCTAGAGGGGGAGATTCTGCTCAAGTTTTAGCTCCTGCTTATCCAGGTAAGGGGGAGGAGAACCTTATCTCTTTAAAATTTTATATACTATTATGTATATTTATTTATGTTATTTTTTATGTATATTTATTTAGTGGGGTGTCCCTAACCTCATTTATTTGCTTAATCTATGATTATTTTTATCCATATTAATTATTAAGGTATTCATATTTTATATTGTTCAGTTATTTTATAATGATTGTCATTTTTATTTATATTATTGGTATTGTTAATATATTCTTTTTACGTAAATATATTTATTGTAAATATATTTATAATCAACTATGATATAGTTGTGATATCTTGAACTCGTCTTGTTGTTATTTCTTCACGTATTTATGAAGATAAATATTGTTCTATGGCCATAGAAGATAAAGTTTGAATTATTTGTAGCTGGAGGTTTGACCTTGGGGATTTAAATGAGTAAGAAATGAAGGTGAAATATCATTTTATTGGTTGATATTATGATGATGCTCATTTATCCTGACTAGTCACTACAAGTATAATTCAAATTTTATTGTATCATGAAAATCTAATATATGATCTGTATATATATTTATATTTCTATATATATATATATATGTTTAATATTGATTATAAATAATTCTGTTTATTCTTTTGAATTATTGTATTTATTGGATATTGTTCTTACTCCTCTCTTTTCTTTGTTTTTAAAATTAAATATATTATAAAATAGATGGATCTACTTGGGATTCCAGATCATTTTGCAGTTGTTATAGTTGTTGTCTTCCTTGAAAGGAATTGGAATGTGGAGGCTATTTGACGAATCTATTATAATTTTATTTGTTATTGAAAATTTATTCTCACTATCAATGTAAATATTGTAATAAAAGTGAAAGAAAGAAATATTGTGTAAAATAATACGTTGTTGTAAATATTTTAGAACGATATATCATGTATTAAATTCATAAAATATTCTTTATCTTTATCTTTATCTTTATAAAAAAGAAAATATTATTAATGATATAATTGCACAAATATTATATAAGAAAATATATAATTATTATTATATAAATTGGGCGTATACAATTGAGCGTTACAAATGTTGCCTCATTGTTTGAGGTTGGACTGTGCTGATAGAAGCCCAAGAAAAATAGTACTTCCACAATTGGTCAGCAATTGGGCAGCTGAAAAAGAGATGCGGTAATGTCTCTGGTTGCTCATTGCACATCACACACATTGAGTCTAGAGGAGGCAAGATGATGCTTCTTCTTAAAAGATTATCAATTGAAGGAAGAGCATTATGTAGCAGACGCCATTGCAAGATTGCAACTTTAGGTGGGATTTTCAGATGCCAAATGTGAGCCAATAAGCGTTCACCTAACCATTGTACTTGAGATCATGTAATGCCTTGTAGGTATAGCTGACCGAGAAGCATCCTGACTTATCAATAGGCCACACCCATCTGTCCTTAACAAGTTTTTGCAAGGCCACTGTGGAGACTGCATGTTGAAAGAATGTCCATTGCTCTTGATCTCTCTCTAGCCAGTTTCTTCTCCATTGGAATTGCCAGTGCCAATCGTCTCCCTCCCAGCAACCCATGTCAGCCAGCTTATAACTTTGTTGCTTTGAGTTGACATACACCCGAGGAACCTTTTGCAACAAACTTTCTTTTCCTATCCACACATCCTCCCAGAAATTAATTTCACCCCCATTCCCAATTCTCCTCCTCTTAATTTTAACAAACCATTGTGATTGCTCATGACTTCCACAACATTTATGTAGATCCCTCCACCACTCAGACCAGAATCTATGTTGTCGACCTCGTTGTCCCCCTCCCAAGCTACCATGGCCACCACATATTTTGAGTAAAGGATGCGACTCCACAGGGTATCTTTTTGACAGAATAAGTTCCATCGCCACTTTGCAAGTAGAGAGGCATTGAAACATTTCATGTCCTTTATCCCCAACCCTCCTAGACTTTTTGGAGACGTGATCGTTTCCCACTTCATGGATGAGAAATGTTATAAATACACTCTTTGTTAAGTTCTTTTAATTAGATGAAATTCATTGAAAATACAAAAATTTGTGAGCTCCATATCCTATTAATTTAATACCTCTCATAATTTTGTAATTTTTAATAAATTTTAACTAATAAAAAAATATATTAAGATTAGTATGTTAGAAAGTATATTACTAACATGTTTTTCTCATTCAATCAAAAATAATAATTTATCATAAATAAAAATAATAATATTAAAATCAATAATCAAACTACACAAAGAACTTTGAATCATCCACCATACAACAAGTACCTATTCATTTCATGATTAACTACTAAACTACTAGAACTTAATCTGTAACAAACTAAAAGCATGCAATTCTAAGAGGAAATTAATATATACAATCGTATAACTATTCCTAATTTGAAGGACAATTTTTGTCCATTCATGTCATATTTTCAAAATCTTGTTGTGAGACAGTGGATGAGCATCCTAAATAAATGAAACATGAATAATATATTAGAGCACAATATGTACCATAAATATCAAATTAAAATTATTCTAATTGTCAAAATACAATACATTGCATAATGGTCACTCATGTGTTGAGAAATGTGTCAATTACATTATCACATACATTTCTCTCCACCACATCACATCTAAGCAATGTCTAACATATAGTTTGCACCAGTTTGGAAGATCAAGGAATATCGACCGCTTCCTCCATATGTTTTTTTCAATAGCCTTCTTTTGGATCTTCCCAAACACAACATTAATGTCCTTCACTCACTCATACACTTGCTCATCATTTAAGGGTATTGATGAAACTTCATTCTCCTGACATCCTTTAAATGCATTTTTCAATATCTAT